GAATTAAAGTTAAGAAATGAGACTAGAGGAGATGTGGAGAGTGGGTAGTGAGGCCTGGGGAACATTCAGAGAAGGAGCCCCCACCTGCTCATTCTTACCCCAAACAATAGAATGGGACTGTTTCTGTTTTCCATATTAATGGAATGGGCCCTGGAGGCTCACAGTGGCCGCCCCTAAAGGATATTCTATCCCATCCCGTCACGTTTCTGGTGCGTCTCAGTGGCTGTTTAATGCCATCTTCACACATTCCTAATACTTTTCCTTTAATCTAGTCCGTCTTTGCCATTATTTGCTTACTTTGAGGGTTATATTCAGCTGGGGAGAAGGAAATCTCTGCTCCCCATTGCTGTAGTAAATCTCTTCCCCACAAATTAACAGGAATTGGTGCGATCATAGGTCTAATCCTAATTTTTACCTCAGGATCTTACAGTTTTTGCCTCATGGAAGGAATTATGGCATGTGCTCCCTAAGGTGGAGCCACCCAAAACCTTTCAGGCCATTTTAGGACAAAACTTATCACGCAAGATCCTTTCTTACACAATGTTATTTTCCTTTCTGTTTAATCTTTGTTAGTCTTAAAAAAAAAACCTACTTTTCACAGTCAGGACCACAGTTTACTATAAAGTTGATTATTTACTTAGCCACATTGATAATTAGACAACTTAAAAAGCAAAAATCTCTTTTTCAAAATGAAAAACTCAGCCATCTAAATAATTCGAATAACTAAAACATTACATTTTCTAAATAAGTCAAACATTTTATGACACATAATATGACTTTGAAGTTTTAAATTATTAAAAGTTATTTTGAAACTACAACATAGGCACTATGTCTGATGTCCTCTTGTCTTTCTAAGTCTCACATGGCCATGTGGCATTAAAGATGGCTGCAAAGAACAGGACCTTAGAATAGCCAGGGGACACAAGTGGAGCAGGGAATGGGCCATGTGGGATAGGCTATGCCCACAGCCACTGTCCCAGGCAAGGGACATGTCCTCAGGCCTCATCACCATCACTTATCTGACTTTAGAATTCAGAAACTGAAAATCAAGAACTTAAGTTCAGGCTCGGCGCCTATAGCTCAACCAGCTAAGGCGCCAGCCACGTACACCTAAGGTGGCGGGTTCGAATCCCCAGCCCGGACCCGCCAAACAACAATGACGGCTGCAACCAAAAAATAGCCGGGCGTTGTGGCGGGCGCCTGTGGTCCCAGCTACTTGGGAGGCGGAGGCAGGAGACTCACTTGAGCCCAGGAGTTGGAGGTTGCTGTGAGCTGTAATGCCACGGCACTCTACCCAGGGGGACAGCTTGAGGCTCTGTCTCAGAAAAAAAAAAAAAAAGAAAGAAAGAACTTAAGTTCAGCATTAAATTCAGCAAAATTTAGAAATGTTACAGAAGTGGTGACTCTATACTCTTTAAACATTTGAACTTTAATAACAGATTTAAGATTAATTTATCTATCAAAACATACTAAAGTCACCTGAATAAAAAGGGATTTGAGTTCTTTTTGTTTTTCCGATAAAATACTTAACGTAAGCACTTATACCCATCTTTGTTTTTTAGCCAATTAGTTAGAACTTCTTTGTACATTTTGATAGTGAAATGTCATAGGCACAAGACATGTATAGACACGCAGACAGACATACAGACTTTATGTTTGCCAGTTTTTAAACACTTTTAAACATATATTTTTATTCAGACTATTAATTTTGTAATTACCTAATTTATGTATTTTAGCAATTCATCTATAGGTTCTAGTTATTTATTTTTTTAGACAGAGTCTCAAGCTGTCACTCTGGGTAGAGTGTCATGGTGTCACAGCTGCACAGCAACCTCCAACTCTTGGGCTCAAGCAATCCTCTTGCCTTAGTTTTTCTATTTTTAGAAGAGAAGGGGTCTCATTTTTTACTCAGGCTGGTCTCAAACATGTGAGCTCCACCAATCAACCTGCCTCAGCCTCTCAGAGTGCTAGGATTACAGGTGTGAGCCATTGCACCCAGCCCTAGTTATCATTTTAAATTATTTTTTTGTTAATCATTTTTATGCCCTATAATTAGATGTGTAAATATAGTTTTAATTACTGCTTTGGACTCATAAATTCTATTAAGAAAAAACAAACTTAAGTATTTTAACCAGACTTGTTATTTTAAACAATGTAATATCATCATAATTCTTCAAGGATCCATTCAAAGGCCATTTTTCTCTAGAGTCGAGATGATAGATACCTTGGCCTGGCCATGTTACAATAAAATTGTCATTGTCTTTTAGTTATAGGGAGGGGAGCCATACTGAGACCATTCAGACAGAATATGCCCCACCTGGCTGTTATTTGGGATTGGGCCTGAGCTTTCATAGTACACACCAGATGTAGAAACACGGAATTTCTCGAGAACAAAATTAGAACTAATGAGAATTAAAGTTTTAGTGTGCAACCAAAATAAAGCAGATGGACCACAGTGATTGGCAACAATGAGTGTGTGAGAGCAGAACCCCAAGACTCCCAGGAGAAATCTGGCAGTGCTGCTAGGAGTGTTAGAGCCCTGCACCCCGAGCCCTGTCCGTCCAGGCGACCGGGCAACCACCAGGCTTCCCCGGCAGCATTTATTGCATCCTGGAGCAGTCTGGGGATCCCCTTGTGGTCACCTTTTAAGTAGTTGGGGGAGGGTCATTCTCTGAATGTTCCCCAGGCTGTGGGGGTCCCCACCTCACAGCCCACTCTCCACATTGTGTATCTGAGACCTCTCTCTCCTCATGTTTTAGGGCCACTCGCAGCTCTACCAGTGAGAAACAATTCAGACGGTGGGCAGAGGGGGGTTAAAGAGGACACTGGCCTGCATGCTGGCTGGTCATTTCTTCTGTCTCCACAGCTGCTTCCTGAGCACTTGCTGGTTATTGCTGCAGCCATAGAGGTGGCACCTGGGTCTGAGTGGCAGGTTCGGGACCCATGAGAGCCAGTGTCCCATTGTTCCTGCCAAAGCATGGCCTCTTGGCAGCCCACTCAACACATCCGGAGAATTCTAAGGATGCCAGTGAGAGGCTGCATTTGCCCACCAGCTTGGAGGAGGCAGTCCGGGAAAGGGCTAAACAGGCTCCCAGCCTGCGGGTGAGGGTGGGAGGTTCTGTCTGTGCATTTAGAAGTGCTTCTGGCCGGAGTTTACTTAATTAGAAGTGAAAGCAATACAATGCTTTGGGCATACAGAGTGTTGTCACCAATGTTGTCACTGACGTTGGCACAGGTAGAAACTGCTCACCTGGTCATACAGCCCTGATGCTAATGATGGCAAAGCTATTAAACGAAGTGCCTAAGATCTGTACAATGAGCTGTGCACACGAGCCTCCTGCTGTCCCCGGCACACAGCTGGTGCTCCATAAATGTGTATCTAAATGACTTAAGGGATAAGTGAATGAATAGTAAGCAAGAAATGGAATAGTCCACAAAATGTTTTTTTTTTTTTTTAAAGAGAATTTAATGCTAGAGGACAGGAGCCTGGATTCCCTCTGTGGGCAGGAGACACTGGCACTGGGTGGATGCAGCCAGGGCAGCCACACCTCTCCTCTGTGCCCTTTTCTCACACTCTGTGCTAAGGCAGGGTTCTCAGCCTTGCGCTGACACGTGGGCCAGGTCATTCTTTGTGGTGGGTGCCGCCCTGTAAGTTGTAGGAAGCTTTGCAGTGTCACTGGCCTCCGCCTACTAGATGCCAGCAGTGTTCCCCTCCAGCTGTGAAAGCCAGGAATGTCCCCAAACATTGCAAAATGTCTTCCAGAACCACTCTCCTATGGGTTCATATAAAGAAAGCATTTTATTGCCCCCAAAACATGGGACATGGGGCTAAACCACTTGAACCAGGGATCATGGAGACATACTCCCAGATGCTCCCATCAGAAAGTCCTGAGCTCTGAGAAGTGAATACTTCTCTCTTCAGCTCGGTTCTGATTTGGGCTCATTCACCTTGAGTGTCCTGCCTCTTTGCAAAAGACAAAGTAAGAAAGGACAAACAACCTCATCACCCCTGGGAAGGAAGAGAACCCAGTAACACTGATGACTCACATGAGCTGCCATGTTTGAGCACCGAGTCTGCAAGAACCCCTCCATAAGCTCGTCACACACTGTCTCGCATTAAATCTTCAACACGAGGGAAGTATTATTGGCCTCATTTTATAGTTGGAGAAACTGAGCCTGATGGCAGTTGGGTCAGTGGTCTGAGGTCACACAAGTGCGTGGTGGAAGTGAGAGTCTAAGCCCAGTGAACTGATCCAGAGAACACGCTGTCCTCCTGCAGCTCCACTCGCCTAAACAATGGCCCCTGGAGTCCCGTCCTCAGGAGTGATGGGGGCTGGGGGCTGAGAACATCCTCAGTAGGGAGCCCTCCCAGCCCACATCTATCCTGGTGAACCCCAACTTTGTTTTCCCAGGGCCCCTGAGCAATGGCTCCCAGTGGCTCCAACAAGGGGAATGACCTTGGTCTGGGCTGATGAGAGTCCAGCCCCGGCTCCCTCCAGGTGACCACAGTGCTTGTTCTTATCTTAATTGTCCCTGAAATTTAATTTCTAGAGGTAGCTGAGTGATGACACAGATAGGTCAATGCCCTTGAGTTTTTCCCAGCTCCTGAGAAAAGGGGGACACCCATACCATACACGGCCACCTGGGGAGCACCAGTCAGCCAGGAGGCAGCAACGGGAGGCAGCACATGGTCCAGAGCCTTCACTGCGGTCTCTGAGGGAGGGAACACATGAGGCAGGGTGGGCAAGTCACAGGAAGCTTAGAACTGGGCAGTCTGAATAATTTTGGTGGCTTTGGCCATGTTGTTGTCTGTTCCCTGGCCCTGAGCTGATTTAGGGCAGGGCAAACATTGGCCTGTGGTGTGAGAGTCAGAGGAAGCTGTGCTTGGGGATATGGCCTCTGGCTGTACGAATTAGCCTGGGAGGGGCCATCTCTCTGGGATGCCAAACTATCACAAAACATGGTTGAAAAGCATAATCAATGTGATTCTTTTCCTGCAGGGTGTTTTTCCTGAATGTGCCCTTTGATTCTATCATTGAGCGACTAACTCTGAGAAGAACTGATCCAGTAACAGGAGAAAGGTGTGTGCTGGGCTCCTGGAGGTCGGTCCTCCCAGGGCTCCCAGGGACTAACCGGGGAGCCTGGTACCTGATGTCGTGGTGCAACCGCCACAAGAATGACATTAGTGACCACAGAAAGAAGGGTCTAGAAATAGGCTTTATCCAATTGGCTCCTCTCAGCAGAGTCTATTGACCCTCTGCCTAGAAGAGTGACCAGGAGATTAGTGTGTAAAGCGCTACAGCAGCACACTGGCGAAATGTCCACCCACTCTCCCCTGGGGTCAGAAGCTTCATCCCGCCTGCAAAATGGCTACATTAGGCTGGTGTCACCTGTGCATTTCCCTGGGCCTTTGCTTGAGCCATGATGCATCCCAGAGGTGGCTTTTGCACAAACACATCCCCAGAGGTACAGCCACCTTTGAACCTTCCCATAGTTATAGCCAGCAAATTCCTGCAGTCTTCCTAGGTATAATAATCACATTCATGTTGACATGCAATTGTAAATCCCCACGATCCTGGATAGGCAGGCGTGTCTATCTTCCCTGGTAACAAGGGCCTCACTTCTTCTTTTCTTTTTTTTTTTTTTCTTGGAGACAGTCTCACTATGTCACCCTGGGTAGAGTGCTGTGACATCACATCTCACAGCAACCTCAAACTCTTGGGCTTAAGCAATTCTCTGCCTCAACCTCCCAAGTAGCTGGGACTATAGGTGCCTGCCACAACACCCGGCTATTTCTTTTTTTGTTGTTGTTGCAGTTGTCATTGTTGTGTTAGCTGGCCCTGGCTGGGTTCAAACCCACCAGCCTCAGTGTATGTGGCTGGTGCCATAACCACTGTGCTACGGGCACCAAGCCTAAGGGCTCCGTTTCTTGACAGGGTCCAAGGAGTAGGGTGAGGTGGGGCAGGAAGGAAACACCAGGGGTTTTCTGAAATACAGACCTGATTTGCCATCCTTGCTTCTAGGGGTTGGTCTTTAGCTGTCCCATGTCAAGTCCTGTGACCTTCTTGTCTCCCTGCCCCGGGGTCTCCCCAACAGTAACTGTCTGTGGTATTTCTGTCACCTCCACTGACAGCTGTCATTATAATCTCCCACTCCCCTGACGTGACTAAGCTGTGTAAGCAGTGTCAATGTCTGCCTTGCTTACCATGACATCATCAACAGCAGATACCACACCAGACTGACAGCAGACACTTCGTAGATATTGTGTGGAAGGACAAAAAAGAGGAAGAAGGAAAGAGGGAGAGAGAGAGAAATAAATTTGACACTTGGCACATTACTGATTTTGTCCTCCTGTCTCTCTCTCTGGCCCTCTCCCTGGAGCAGAGGCCAGATACTGCATCTCTGTAGCTCCAGGGCCCAGTCAGGGTGTGCACACAGCCGGTGCACAGTAAATGCTCAGTGTGGTGCTGGTGGTGACCACGGCACACCAACTTGGTCAACAGTAGGACAGTGGGTCTCTTTCTTCCTGCTCTCGGGGCCAGACTATGGATCACCTATCTTCCCTCCTTCCTTGTAGGTACCACCTCATGTACAAGCCACCTCCAACCATAGAGATCCAGGCTCGTCTCATGCAGAACCCAAAGGATTCTGAAGAGCAGGTCAGGCTCAAAATGGATCTGTACTACAGGAACTCTGCGGACCTGGAACAGTTCTATGGGCAGGCCATCACCCTCAACGGGGACCAGGACCCATACACAGTCTTCGAATATATAGAGAGTGGGATCATTAATCCCCTGCCCCAAAGAATCCCCTGATGGGTTCAGAGCGTTCCCCAAGGAGACAAGTTAACCCCACCCCTACGCTCAGCCACTAGCAATCTCTACCAGGCCAATAAAGAGTGCTGGGTACATTCTCACGTGTCCTAAAGGTGAGGTAGCTGGAAGGTGGGCTTGTTATGGGATCTGGGAACACAGGACAGGTGACGCCCAGGGAGGTGGTAAGGCAGAGAGCTTCAGACTGGTCTCCTGGGGTGAGTCACAGCACCAACACATTGTGTGTCCTTGGACAAGTCAGGTACGCTCAGGTCTTTCTTTCCTTACAAGATAAGGGTAATGATAGTAGCTGCCTCCCAGGGTGCTGTGGCATTAACACAAAGCTCTTAGCACTGTGCCTGAACTCACTGAGCGCTCAACACACCCAGCTTAAACACACTACCGTCTCTAGAGCAGCACCATGCAGTGGGAGTCTGTCACTGGCTGCAGGGGGCTATTGAGCACTTGAAGTATGGCTCATGCAACTGAGGATTTTAAAATTTTATTTAATTTTCTTTTTTTTTTTTTTTTTTTAATTTTATTTAATTTTCACAAATTTATTTATTTATTTTCTTTTTTGAGACAGAGTCTCAAGCTGTCACCCTCAGTAGAGTGCTATGGTGTTACAGCTCACAGCAACCTCCAACTCTTGGGCTTAAGCAATTCTCTTGCCTCAGCCTCCCAAGAAGCTGAGACTACAGGCGCCCACCTGGCTATGTTGTCATTGTTTTTTTGTTTGTTTGTTTGTTTTGTTTTTTTATTGAATGGTAACTACGTACATCAATGCACTTCTGGGGTACAGTGTGGTGTTTTCACACACAATGCGAAACACTTCCATCAAACTGGTCAACATAGCCTTCATGTCATTTTCTTAGTTATTGTGTTAAAACGTTCATATTCTACTCCCAGAAAGATTCACCTGTACCCCGTTGTCATTGTTGTTTATCAGGCCCGGGCCAGGTTCAAACCCGCCACCCGTGGTGTATGTGGCTGGCATCCTAGCTGACAGAGCTATGGGCGCCGCCTAATTTTCACAAATTTAAATTGAAATAGGCACATGCACCTATTGGCCGCCATCCTGGACAGTGCTGTTCTTGACAGGCTTAGCTGTTTCTTTGGACATGCTTGCTTTAGGTCCCACAGAATGGAAAGGAGTTGTCCCTCTGGGGTCTGCAGAGCCCTCAGGGCCCAGGAGCAGACCCCAGAGGACTAGTGACCCATGAGACTGAAGGAGCCACCAGCCCCACCCCTCCCTCCCACCGTTTCCTTGTGCCTTTGTAACTATCTTCATTAGGTAGGTTCTTGGGTATCCCCTTAGCAACACAGCAGGACACTGAAGCTGCAGGAGGGCAAGTGACTTGCCTAAGGTCACCTGGATTAACAGCTAGACCTGAACCCTGCGCTGTGGGCCCCGCCAGTCTCTGTGCACAGGCTCCAGCTGGCTGGGCTAGAAGGGGCTTTAATCATCAAGCCCAGACTCCCTGAGCTTCTCAGAGCCGGTCCAGCAAAGATCTGGCCCTGACGCCAGTGACCTTGCCAGTCAGCAGCTTCTGTGTGCTGAGCCTCCTGGGCAGGTCCCCTTGCTTCTGCCCTGGTCCCAGGCAGGGTGAGCCTGGGGCCTGCCTGTCCCAGCAGGCCTCATGGGCCTGGGCGCTCTCCCTTGCACATTCCCCTGCTCACCAGCTCAGCCTCCCACCCATCTTCCCGCCCTGCTCAGCCACTGGGTGCCACCCCTGCCCAAGCTCCACCTCTTCCTAAAGCCCAGCAGGGGAGAAGATGCCTACCACAAACTTCTGACAATGTGACCTGCCCAGTTAGCCTCCATTCAGCCCTGAGGGCACCAGTTGCAGGTTGTAAATGCTGGGTGCTGAAGCTCCGCCCGCTTGTGTGGTGCCCCCCCACCCCAGGCTGGAGAAAACAGCAGGCAGTGAAGATGCCAGCCCGTCCCTCCCGGCTCTCCCCCTCTGGGTGCTGGAGAATTCAGCCACAATGAAATGGCATTTGGATGCAAATCCTCAGAACACGAGTTTACTCAGTGAGCATATTAATGCTTGCTCAGTCCTGCTCTGCCCTAGGATTCCTCTTCGTCCACCTGCTGCCTCCCCTCAGGGCAGGTGTGCCCCCTCTGTGCTGAGCTTGGTGTGTGTGGCACTCTGAGGCAAGTGGTGTCCCTGCCACATCATTGGTGTGGAGCCAATGGCCTGGTTCTACATGCTGCTGTGTGACCTTAGGCAAGTTACTTAACCTCTCTGGGGCCTTGTAAAATGAGAACAAAAGTGGTTTTTGCCTCTTAGGTGTGTTGTGAGATGAAATGAGTTAAGACATGTAAAGGCTGGAAGTCGGGCATGATGGGCACATACGCTCAGGAACTGTCGCTGTGAGGTCAGCGCAGTTTTTATCCCTCAGAGAAGATAACTGACCTGCCCACGGCCATATGTGGCAGTGGCAGAGAGGGGACAGGATCCGCACACAGCCTTGGAACGCAGAGAGTGGGATTAGTCCTACTGCTGGGAACCCTCCCCAGCTCCGCATGAGGATGGGGCGGGCACCTGCTGTCCCACTGTTGCCGTCCCTGCTTTCAAAATCCCTGAAGCCCAGCCAGGCCTGACGGGGTCAGCTGCAGGAGGCCTGTTCCCTGGAGGAGCGGTGCTGGGACAAACGTCACCTCCCCCCGCGCTCGGCCCGGCGGACCCTCCGGTGCCCTACGCCCCCCCTCCCCCGTTCGTGTAGGCCGCGCCCTTGGAGGCCTCGCGGGCTCAGAAGTCCCTCTAATCGCCCAGGCGAACAGCCCCTGCGCTTCTTTACATCACAGGCTCCCGGGAGACGCGGGCGAAGGATGCTCTGCTCATCGGAACCATGGTGGAGGGACCAGCGTCCCAGTCCCAGCGCGGCGACTGGTCTAGGGAGTTCCGGGCCAGGGAGGGCCGCTCTCAGGTCTGGAGGACCAGCGTCTTGGTAATTTACAGAGCTCGCGGTGCTTGAAGGCAACCGTCAAGGTCCAGTCTCTCGGCTTGCCGGAGAACACCGGGCCACGTTGTCGTCATTACGGTCGCCCCACGACTCATTTTCAACCTCTTCAATCGTTAACTGTCACCACAAACCCTCCCCTCCGCCCGGAGCACCGCCCTGACCACGTCTGGGCCGCCCCGGGCAGCGGGAAACCCACCCGCCCTTGGGGTGTCTGCGCCCCGGCCGCAGCCAGCGACCAGGGCGCAGCCGACGCAGCTGGCCACGCAGGGACTCGGAGAGCGCGGAAGGCCGCGGGTCAGCTCTCCTCGCACTGGCGGGGAGGAGACGGCATTCCGGGGCAGCCCTGCGAGTAAAGTTAATCTGAGAAAACCACGCGAGCACGTGCGCACCTACCCCGTGCGCCTGTGGACTGCGGGCCTACTGTGTGCCCAGCCTCCGGGACAGAGCAGGAGGGGACGACAACAAACTTCTCCCTCACGAATTAGGCTTACACTTTACAAAGTTTAAGATGAGCGACATCAGACAAAGGCCACGTGATTCCTGCCGTTCCTAGGACCCATCTCTGCCGCGGATCCCGCCAACCACCCCGATATGTTTCAACACGCTCACCTCTTTTGCGCGCGCGGGGCGGGGGGGGGGGGGGCGGGGGGGGGGGGGGGGGTGTCAGCAGGGCGCGTGCGCACAGGGTGCGTCGGGCGGGCGGTCTGCAGGTGCACCGGGAAGCTGGTGGGCGGAACCGGCAGACTCGCGGGAGGTCCCTAGGGACCGATGGGGCGCTGAGTTCTAAAGTCGTACGGGTTCAGAAACACGAAGCGATCACCGATGTCTGGACTATGGAACACGCTTTTACTTTTAAAAATAGAAACATAATTATACTGTAAATACTTTCATTATCAAAATGTTCCTTATAAGAATTCCAAATAATACAACAGATTCACATCACATGCTAAGTGAAACTCCCGTCCCCGCTCCAATAAACCCTTAATGTCATTCACTAGGGGTGATCACAGATCACAGCTAAAAGTTCGGTACGCCAGTTCCTGTGGCTGGCTGGCTGGCTGTCCAATACAATGTCATGAACACAGACGGGGTTGTATTTACTCCTCCGTAACCTGTTTTGTGTGTGTGTAGGGGGGTGGGTGTGTGGAGCAAGGTCTCACTCTGTGGTCTGGGCTAGAATGTTGTATTGTCAGCCTAGCTCATAGCGATCTCAAATTCCTGACTCAGGCAATCCTTCTGCCTCAGCCTCCTCAGTAGCTGGGACTACAAGCACTCACCACAAAGCCCAGCTAATTTATTTATTTATTTATTTTGAGAATGAGTCTCAAGCTATTACCCTGGGTAGAGTGCCATGGCTCATAGCTCACAGCCTCCAACTGGTAGGCTCAAGTGATCTTCGTGTCTCAGTTTTTCTATTTTAGTAGAGATGGGGTCTCACTTTTGCTCAGGCTGGTCTCCAACTCATGAGCTCAAGCAATTCACCCACCTTGACCTTCTAGAGTGCTAGGATTACAGGTGTGAGCCACCACGCCTGGCCCTCATCTAATTTTTTTAATTTTGTGTAGAGATGAAGTCTTGCTTTTGTTCAGGCCCATCTCTTTAAATTGGCCTCAAGCAATCCTACTGCCTCAGCCTCCTGAACCACTAGGATTACAGGCGTGAACCAGCACACCTGGCCTGAGTATAGTTCTTATGTTTCTCTCTCTTTTTTTTTTTTTGAGACAGAGTTTCATTTTGTCACCCTTGGTAGAGTGTTGTGACATCACAGCTCACACAACCTCCAACTCCTGGGCTTAGGCAATTCTCCTACCTCAACCTCCTGAGTAGATGAGACTACAGGTGTCTGCCACAATGCCCGGCTATTTTTTTGTTGCAGTTTGGCTGGGGCCAGGTTCGAACCCGCCACCCTTGGTATATGGGGCCAGCACCCTACTCACTGAGCCACAGGCACCACCCCTTATGTTTTTTCTTACCACTTTTTTATTTTATTTATTTATTTATTTATTTATTTGCAGTTTTTGGCCAGGGCTGGGTTTGAACCCACCACCTCTGGCATATGGGGCCAGCGCCCTACTCCTTTGAGCC